AGGGGTAAAAAGTATAACTATTGCACTGTGTTGTACAGCTGAAACTAATTCTAAAAAATGTGTATTTCATAATAAAAAATAATTAAAAGAAAAAAAAACAAAAACAAAACAAAACAAAACAAAGAAGTGATGCTGATGCTGGAGGGGGGTTGTTACTTGGTGAGGGGTGAAAAGGATAACTATTGCATTGTTCTGTACACCTGAAACTAATAATAAAATGAAATTAAAAAAGCAAAAGAAAAAGAAAAAGAAGTGATGCTGGACAATTGCTTGTCCCTATGGCAAATAAATAAACATGAAAATAGCTCCAACGTCGCTTTAATCCAGGTAGATTAAATACCTAAATGTAAAATGAAAACATTTTTACAAAAGAAAATGTAGAAACGATATCTTTCTGAGAGCAGAGAGTAATTTCTTAAACACAGAAAGCGTATGTGATCGTGGAGATTGACTACATAAAGCAAACACACTTCTGCACAACTGAAAACACTATAAAAAAATGTTAAAAGCCAAACCATAGACTGGGAGAAGATATTTTCAAGCCTATAACCAACAAAGGATGATTAGTCAGAAGAAAAATTACCCAATAAAAATTGGATAAAATATATGAACAGACAATTCACAGAAGGGAAAACCCAAATGGGCAATAAATATACAAAAAGATTATCTATTTCCTTAGGAATTAGGGAACTACGAATTAAACAATAAAATATTATTTCACTACTCTCTTATAGGCAAAAATAAAAAGTCTTGATAATCTCAAGTGATGTTGAATTTGAGGTGAACTGTGAACTCTTATAGATTGCTGGTGGGAGTAGAAATTGGTATTGACACTTTGGAGAGTAATTAGATATCTGTAACACTGAAGATTCACTGCTCCTACAACCCAGAAATCCTAATTCTAAGTATATGAATAGAGGAACTCTCTTGTATGTGCCAAGGAGACACATCTAAGAATGCTTATTGTAGCATTTGTTTGTCATAATGAAAATAATAACAATCATGAAAACAATGTTGGATGGGAAAAACATTTTGCAGGATGATGCCATTTATACAGATTGTTTTAAAAAAAATGCAAGGCAATATAGTATGTTGAGTATGTACATAGATTGGGAAACATTAAAACATAAATGGAAAAGATATACACCAACTTCAGAATAGTAGTGAGCCCTCGGAGGTGAGGTAAGGGAAAAGGATGCAGGAGATATATACAGGGGCCTTCAATTACATCTGTAATGTTTAATTTTTCTAAAAAATTAACTTTGGAAGCGAAATCGGCAATATCGTAACACTTTAAAATGGGTTATGGGTATAGTAATGTTCGCTCTATTATTTTCATTTTGAAATATATATATAATTTTTAAAATAATTATAAAAATTATTTTGACAGGCTACGATGAAATGTTAGATAAAAAAACAGAATACAAAATTTTACAATATGATTGCAGTAATATAATATGTATGAACTTTAACCAGGATGTTTTTTAAAGCTACTTTTTATTGAGCAAAAATACTGCATGTCAGGTGCTGTACTAAGAGGTTTAGTGAGAGGATGAATAACCTGTCCAAGGTCATACAGCAAGCAGTAAGTGGAACTTTACTTTGAACTCAAGTGTCTCTGATTCCAGAGCCTATGCTCTTAACCTCTATGGAAACAAATATGCAGAAATAAAATAATTTTTGGTTAGAAACTAGCTAGAATTATGGATGATACTCTTTCTTCAAAATTTTAATGTTTTTTTATTGCTTTCATTATTTTAAAAAGTAATCTTCATTGTTTCAAGACAGTGGGAGATTTGCTAGTTGCTATAGGTATGATTGTATTCAAAATGGTCAGTTAGACAAGCATTTCCCAAAGTGTGTTTCCTGGAATACTAATCCCAAGGAGTGCTTCATGAAAACAGAGTGTGTAGAAAAAACAAGTTTGTAAAAGCTATATTCCATAACCTCCTTTTGGAAGTGAACAACGTAAATCAGATTAAACACTTGAGTATGCTCTGCAGGAAAGAAACATGTTTAACTTTGTTTAAGGCATTTCCAAAAATCCTTTGTAGGGGACAATCTTTTAAAAAAGATAAATGAGTTTGATGGAGAATAGTGGTGTCAAGCTACAGATGCTAAAGAACTTCTGTCTGTCTTAGCTTTT